TCCCAATCTAGCGTTGTGTAACTCCTAACTCAAGACTTAGACTGCCGAAGGGGGGCAAGGCGATCCAATGGTTGCTTGGATGCACGGCTGGCCATTCGGCCGCACAGCTAGCATGATCGGCAATAAGGCAAGCAAGGACTTCTCACTTTCGTTACTTCATCCATGGCTTACTTTAATTATTTAGATTAATTTGTGCCTATAGGAGTAGAAAGATTGCAATTAGAATATGCATGATCCGTGAGACAAGATTTTAGATTGTTTATCCCCTTCAGTAGTAGAAAGATTTAGACCATTAGCTGCATTTGTTTCATGGAGTAAAAAATTAATAATTGTTCAAAGCCACCATCTCTTTTCACCCCTTGATGAAATCTATCATTAACCTAGGCTACAACCGTCTCTGCCTAAGTTTTTTGCCAATCAGTTTCCACGCGCAAAATCTCGCCCCCTCCATGTTAAAATCCTAGCTCCGTCCCTGTCTAGATCTACTGGGCGGGCGGGCGGCGGCTAGGAAGTTTTTCCAATCGCAGGAATCGAGGAACGACGAATGAGCACATTGTGGGAACGAAACGATCGTGCGTACATCGTGAACTCGCTGGTGGTCGTGCGTATTGCTTCTAGACTCCTTGTCTTCCACGTGGGCTGTTTTTATTTTTATTTTTTCCTGTATTGGGGCCGCTGGCCATGTACATGGGCTATAGGCCTCACGTTGTGTGATGGCCGGATGGATCATAGGAGGGGCGAGACAACCAGAATTCTGTGCTTAGGAAGAAAATTATATGTGGTACCTAATCGCTATTAAGGGGTGACGAGATCGTTAGGGGGGGTCTAGCCCCCCCTCGTCCCCCCTTAAGAATCGTCCCTGACGTCCGCATGGGGGTGCGATGTGGAGGAGAAGACACACTGCAGTCTCCGGCGAGGAAGCAGCAGCTCTGCCCGGACCAGAGAAGAAGAGGCGGGCGGTCTAGCAGCGCGTCTTAAGGACGGTACGACGAAGAACGTATCTCATGCAACGGTTGAATTAGTGCAACGAATGCACCGATAGATTCTGGTCCATTGGATAGAGAATAGATGGAACAGATTTATCACAATCAGGGTTGTCGGTACATTTTATATCTAGGACCCTGCAGAATCATTGAAAGATGTAAGTAGTCCTCAACAAACATACCGTCTCTTCCCCATCTCCTGTTCCTCTTTCCATGGGATTCGCTTTTTCTGTACCAAGTCGTCGAGCTATGATCCATGGTGCTGCGAGATCTCTTCCAATCTCGATGGCGGCAACCACCTTCGGTGCGATCCCTCTTCACCCTTCCCCCCACCTCTTTCCCATCAGCTATTCCTCTACACGACGGTGCTCGTTAGGGCTTGGCGCTGTCGACGGTACAGATGTAGCAGATGTCGACTCTTATGATATTGCCTCTATTTTCATTTCAAAAAATTGCGAGTTTCAGGTTTTCTGTCTAGAATTCCAGATGTTGTCCCGTTTCCTGCAAGCATGTGGCCTCTGTGTGAATGGTTCGATAATGTCTTGTTTGCCAGTTTCTTCAGTCTGGTAAAATTCCTTTGTGAAAATAAAAACGGGTTATCCTCAATTTCAGGCAGTACTGATTTCAGGTAAGAATTCTGACTGAAAAGAGTAGTCAACCAACAACCAGTGGATTAGAGCCCAAACTTCCATTAATTCGAATCAAGGTACAATATTAGTACACTAGTACAAGTGCTCTATGAAAAAATCATGAATATATATATATATATTTTTTTTGAAAGTTCTCATATTGTCTTGCATGTGGATTACTCTTTGTTTACAACAATGAACCAACAATTATTTGGTTAGAAGCACGTCGGCAAGGTACCTTGTTCACACTGATGTATTAATTATTGAAGTTATCTTCCCAAGTTTACATGAATGAACTCATTTCATTTCCTCTTATTGTAAGGTTGTAGACCCCCAAGATGTCATTAGTGAGAAAATAGATTGAGCCATGAGAAATTATGCAAGTGTTTCATCGACGACTAAGGTGCTTGTTGAAACAGATTGCCAAATCCTATCTTTGTGGAATGAAGAGGGAAAGCAGTTGGGTATCAGTTCACAAGATGAAGTTTACTCCTTTATCCATCTAGGACTAGGATTCAAGCCTCAGTTTGCATGACAAAATAGAAATGTTGCTGCAGACATCTGTACAAGAGAGGCAGAATATATAATGTGTTCTTGAAGCAGATTTTCCAATTGTATGAAAAATAAATTACATGAAGATTTTGCTTTTTTTTTTGCCAAAGTCAGCAATGAGCAATCATGCAACAGTTAGATAAGCTGATACAAAAACACATCTTTTATATTTTCCGAGGTGTTATGCACAGTTTAAAAGAAGCCGGTCAAACAAATGTATAAAGGAAGATGAGACATGCCTTCGTATGCAATCTACAGCAGAGTAATACTGCTACTTGAAAAGCAATAAAGAAGATTTTGATACATCTTAAACATTACATATTTCAGGTATGGGTCCTGTCAAGATTTTTCTCAGTCCATCATACACAAAGTCAGCCATAGGTATTTCTCAAAATTCAGGTATGGGTCCTGTCAAGATTTTAATCAAGTCACTCCTGCTGGACTGCCATCCAGCTAAAAATATGCTTGAAAATAAGACATACTACATCGACCATATCTCTTGATGGGTAATTATGATAGGATTTGGAGAACTGGAGTAACCTACAACATAGCTGCACACATCAAGATTTTTACGTCAGAGAAAAGGAACAATGTGATACAAATTGAGGAACATTTTTAACTAGTGATGCGACAGAGAGCTTGACTGGACATTTTAAAGGCCCTTTCCATTTATCATGAACAAATTAAAGTGGATAACAAGAACATAATACATTAGTAGTTCATGTCCAAGAACATCACATGAACAACTAGTAATTAACCTACTCTTGCCATGTATGCAGACTCCCAGGTCATCATTTTATCACACACATGTCAGGTCCCTTCATGTACAAACCTTACTATAAAATTATCAAGTGTACATGAAAACTGTATAGAAATCAGAACAAAAAGTCAGAAAGAACACATCTCCCTCGTCTACTTTTTCCACTATCGGTCATAATTAGTGGTAAGATTTGGCGCTCATACTATTCAATCCAAATGCCATTGGTTTCAAACAAATTGGGCAAACTGAAGGGATTGGAAAAATAGACTGTACGTGCATAACAGAAGAAACAAATTTGGAGCTTATACCGCAGATATCGTTTAGCAGTAAAAAGATTTTTTTTAAGAGCAGTAAAAAGATGGTGGCTGGCTCCTAATTAGCATGATCTGGTACATGATTTGGATCCTAGGCTCGTGGTGCTTCAGCATCGGAAGTCGGAGAGAGGGAGGGAGATGGAGGACATGGAGAGAGAGAGAGATGTGCAGCTTGCCCATATTTCTCTTAATCCTAGCTCGAGGCACTGGTACACAAGATGGAAGCGAGATTGACAAACTCAGAACGGGGGGTCAATTAGCTTGATTTAGCTATACTTGGAGGTCTGTTTTGCAAAGTTTACCAGCAGCTCCATTTGCACCGCATCCTGCCCCTCTCTTTTTAATCCAACGGCTGATGTAGCAGCGGAGCACCTGGTGCACCAGTACGTCTGGTGCACAGGATACGTTCTCCGGTACGACGAGGGGAGGAAGTGGTGGCGGCGGGGTCGGGGGTTGGGATGGGGGCTCGTAGTCGCGAGCTCCATCGTACCATCCTTCTGAGATGCTTTGTGGATGTGTTATTTGCATCTACCACTAAAAAAGTGTTACCTGCAGATTGAGAAGGTTGGTTTGCTGTTGTATACGCATATTGAATTTTCCTTTTAGTTTTGCTAAGATTCTCTGAAGGTGATTGTGGGTTGTGTAGCTGCGTTTAGTGATGTTGTTACCTCGTCATCTCTTTGGGTGTTTTGAGATGCTGGTATATGAGCTCACGGAGTTTACTCGTTTTATTTTAACTACTATCTGCAATGTTTCTATTATATTTGCAAATACTCCCTTTGTAAACTAATGTAAGACGCTCAAAATTTGCACGCTTTGTGCAATTCTAGATTATCACAGTGTCTAATCATCTTTTTTTTAATGTTAGCAAAGTAACCTATTGAATTTAATCTCTCCCAACAAGAACAGAAATAAAATTTACTCGTTTTATTTTAACCTGAGAATCGTGCTACTTGCACTTTTTCAAAAAACACCCTGTGCTCGGACAGAATTTTGGAGCAGGGACATCCATACACAACACCACCTGGTGCCCGGTAGTTCCAACGGGCTGTCTCTTCTCCTTTCTCCTCCTCTCAAGAAAGAAACAGAGTCTTCTAGACCCCTCCCAAATTCCTCGTCGCCGCCGGGATCTCGCGTCACCGCTCTCCTCCGCTGCCTCCCGAACTTCCCTCGCTCTGGATCCGGTCCACCATGAGCCAAGCCTCGCCGCCAAGTCCCTTGCCGCCGCCTGTGTCCTATGTCCCCACGGCAGCCGCCGCCGCATCGGCCCCCTTGCTCGATGCATCGGCTCGGCTCCAGCGCGTGACCCAGGGTCGCATGGTGGGCTGCGCGAGCCTGCTGGCCTGCCCCGCAGCCCCCTCGCCAACATGGGCCCAGCCGCCCCTCCTCGCCTCGCGAGGTAGCTGGAGAAGAAGCTGCCGGATCGGAGGCTACCGCAGGACAAGTTCATCTGCTGCTGCTGTGTCTGCTTGTTGAAGAAGGGTGTGCCGGCAGGAGGAGGCAGTGTTGAGAGTGCTCGATCTGCAACAGGGCGAGCTTGGGCTGCACCGCAGGTGTGTCTGCTGCTGAATTTTCCAACTGCTACTGTTCCCTATACCTGTATTACATTATGCTTCGAGCTTTACCCACGACCTCTCCTTCTAGACCTGGGCACGCAAGATATCGGAGACTGAGAGGATAGTGCAGTATATATTCTTTGTTCTCCGTTCGGAGCCTGTCCACTCATTCCATTTTATGCAGGCTCTGGTTCTCAACCTCCAACATGATTCCCTTTCTTCCGTGCCTCCAATGGAGGCTACCAGCGGCAGGAACGCCACGAGACATCCTGGCATTGCAGATGCAGAGCTTTCTAGGGGCGGCCTGTTTGTTTCCGGCCGCGCCGATGTCAACTACCTTGATCCACTGTGACTGTCCCCAACCACGCTCAACTCCCCGTAAGTCATGTTTTTCTCCTACCAGATCAAAAAAATTGTCAAGTTTTTGGAGTACAGTTGTGTGCCCGATCCGTTCATGATTGAAATTATGGTCTCTAAACATGTGATTTGTGAAATTTTTAGCAACAAATTGTTTGTGGATCTGCAAAGTATGTTGTCACCAGTGGATTCAGACTTCCTATTTAATTTTTTGCAGAAACCTGTACCATCCCCTCAGGTCAATATTCATACCCTTTTTCATTGCGACATTTGTCAGATTTTTGTACTTGGGATGATTTGGTGCAAGGTATAGAGGAGCATGATCAAGCATGGCTAAATATATTTGCAAGTAGAGAAGTTCTTGAGTCACACACTAAAGGAAGAGAGATAAGCTTTTTCTCTTTGTTGTATCAAGTAATTTACTTCCCAGTCCGCTATATATTATTGTGTACTGAACGCAGTCTGAAATAACCTCTTTTACAAAAAAATACATACCTGTGTGGTTGTGTGAGATCTATTTGGAAGTGCTAATTGATGAAATGTATGTAGCATTAGTAATAACCTTCTGATGTGTGGTCAGATATGTGATAATTAGTGAAATGTTGCTTTAGATAGTTTTTTCATGACTTCAACATGTGCCTAACATCTCCTTGATCATGTGAGTTCATATATCAGTTTTTAACTTCTGCAAGTAAATTTTGATGTTGTGCAAGTTATATATGATTGGAATCACAGGGAAAACTGTGTGATTCTTTTCTTTCATGATAGTAGACTCTTAAACCTACATGAACCAGCATAATTGTTGTAAACATTATTTAAAGACGTATATCTTCATTTATCTTAATTAGTTTAGATACATGGCGAGGGAAATTCTACTCGAAGCTCATTGCGTCAGATAGTCAACCAAACGCACCACATCGTGGGCTGGCCCACCATGGCCGGAGATGAGAATGACCGCTCAAAGTGGAGTCGGAGACGACGCGACAAATCAGATTTTGGTGCATTATATAGTCTCTCGGCAGTTTTATTCCCTATAAAATGGTACAAATTTGTTTATGTTGAATACTATTTCAGTGTCGCGAGGCAAAAACCACTAGATTTTTTTTTAATTTAGTATGTTTAGAGCATTGGGATCCTAAGTAGTTGTCTTTTAGTTTAAGGAATATTTGTCCTTCTGTCCACTTGCTAAACAAATATTGTAGTTTAACACTTTTGTCAAAAAAAATCTTCGCCAAAATACTACAGATCATCTATAGGCTTGTTAATTTTTCCTTTGCCTAAATATACTACAGACCATTATACATGCAATACTGATTGTCCGATATCTTTTTAGGTGTTTTTAGGTGAGAAGATAGATGAAGTGAGGGCTCAAGAGCTAATATTTTCGCGCTGATGTTTTGAACAAACAAGAAAAAGAAGGATACACTATGCTTGACAAACGATTCCATGACCTGATAGATGCCTATGGTATGTAACTATGTAAGTTGAACTAGCTGTGTGAGTTATGCCTGACATTTTATTCTCTTCATGGTGGTGCTGTGTACAGATTCATGCTTCTTGTTCATATTCAGCAAAGTATTCAGTCAAACACCTTTACTTAATTCTTGTTTCGTAAGGAACCTTCTATAAGTGTGTGCTCAAAGCTCGCTATAGTATGTATGTTATTTGAATATATTATGCTATTTATCTTAACATTCAAAATTGGTGTGCCTAAATAGCAAGAAATGAGCAATGTTGAATCCTTGGATTAAAGGCAACATAATAATATGTTTTTGGAGATTTCTTGTTGTGCCCATGCTGATGATTTGGGTGATTTGGCGTGAGCGCAACAGCCACCGCTGCATATTTCACAATTCAGAGTTATTTGCTGCGGTGCTTGCGTGCATTTGCCATTGAGTAATCCAATGTTGAAAGGAGGCTGAAGCACGACACATCATTTTGCCATAGTTTAATGGGCTAACGGCTGATGTGTGTATTGCCTTCTACTTTTCATGTGTTTGTAAAGTATTTGTTCCTTCTATCAATGAAACCGACAACGGCCACTTTGGGTCATCAAACTGAACCTATATTTCTATGGAATCTTGCGGTGAGGTTGAGGCATCATCAAACTGAACCTATATTTCTATGGAATCTTGCGGCGAGGTTGAGGCATTAATGTTCATTGAAGTGCCAAATTCATGTACATGAAAAAACTTTCTGAACTTGTATATAGTATCTTATGTATGCAAGTTATATATCCTATATTTTATGCATGTTCTTTTTTCATCTTAATTCTCACCCATGGGTGGCATTTTGGACCGTATTAATGCTCATGGGCATGGAGATATGATGTTGCACGGCATGAGTAGGTGATGGAAGAGGAGATGTGAACATGTTGGCCCCATTGGATTGAAGCCGGAGGATGAAGTAACTTGTTGCCATACCTCCATTGCACATACTCTTGGGGATAGATAATGAGATTGTGGTGTTGTCGTTCTTTCATTATCGATATTAAGGTTAGTCCAAAGTGATATGCTTAATGTGTCACCATTTCTAGCGGAAAATGATGTGTGCTTGAGGTCGAGCACATGTCAAGTGAGGTGGAACAAAGACATAGACAGATTTGGAGTTAGGTGTCATCACAAATTCACTATTGCCAGATATGTGGACTTGTTAGCTATTGCGAAATGCTCTCTGTCCCTAGCGGACACCTCGATATAGGACTTAGCGGACAGAGGGAAAGCCGAGTAGGAAGAACAAGTCCTCTTCCAAGGTGAAAATGGAAGCCCGTATGTTTGATTGTTCCCAATGTGTACCGATCAAATATTCAAATGTATAACATCATTTTGATCAATGTCTCCTACATTATTTCGTTGTCCCCTAGCATTGCACTCATGCCTTCTTTTTGATTCCGTAGCGTAGCACGGGCATCTTACTAGTTACATCAGAAGTCTTTTCGACTCTCGAGTTGCTTGTGTAGAGCAATGTGTGCCACCACCAAGTCCCGAACTAAATGCCCCATAGGCCATTGGATTACGGAAACCTTATCGCCAGGCTTCATTAGTTTCTATGTTAGATGCTTTTCTCATTTGCTTGTTTTCCGCATGAATCATACAAATTGGATGCAGAAATACATAAGTTTTGAATCATTATACTTAAATTGCTCCAATAGCCATCTTAGACGGAATGCACCCTCATGGCTCGACTATAAATACTTATCAGTATATCAGTGGCTTAAGGTGTAAAAACATCTGGGAAAATTAATTTTGTTTCTGGAAACAGCCTCTTGCAGAAATGTAGGGAAAGGCTGCGTACTATAGAATCAAAGCGGTCGGACCCTTGCCCGGACCCTGCGCAAGCGGGAGCTACGTGCACCGGGCTGCCCTTTTTTTTATACTGCTCTGCTTTGAAGAAGCTCTTGTTCTCTCTTTAAGTATGATTCCACTCACAAATTCTTGGGTTAGTATATTGTTTCCTTAGACATATCTATACTCCTTTATAGTGCACGAGTAGGTTTTGGTATTAGCCGTCAGATATGCTACATCGGATGGTTGGTAAGTGGCAAATCTGTGAGCTGCTGCCTGCTAGTCGTAGATTAAAGTCCATCCAACGGTTCAAGTCGCCTGGATTCACAGCTACAGTATACCTCATCCAACTGTCCTGCCATCCAACCTGATGAGGCAATGACAAACGGGGCAACAGGTAGCTACTGTGAACAAGTTACATCAGTATGTTTTAAGCTCTTTTTCTAGACAACTCATGTGGACACCAGATAAGATAGGAAGAATAGAAAGGTCAAGATTCACGAGAGAGTTCTAGAAAGATGAGATAATGTGGTCTGGATAAAGATAATGCGGTATAGTTACCAAAACATAGTTTTTTCAATTGTGCTATATTACTTAGTAAGATGCTCCTAATAATCATGGAACTTAAACCAACCCGTTGCACTTTTCTCTTACAAAATTCATAAGAGTAGTTTTCTCTACGTGCTTTGCACGTACCATGTCCTAGTAATGCTATAGCCTAGAAGTTGAGAGCATAATGCAAAATTGTTGGCTTAATACTTATATCTGTCTTTGGAATTGTACTTAGAGGTATGATGCAGATCATATCTACCTGTCTCCTAATTGCTATGGTGTATTCCAGGTCTGTTGAGTTATTCCAATTCTGCTTTCAGTAGCACTTTATATTGTTAGTTAGCTAAAGTTGTTGCTAGCTATGTTTTTGTAGTTGCTCCAATGTATATATTTTCTGCATGCGTGTTGTATTTGCGTCATCTATGTTAGCTTAGGAGATATGCTGCTGCTTTTCTATTTTGTTGTTTTTCTAGTAGCCTAGTTTGTACAGGTTTTTCCCCCCTTAGCCTGGTTTTTGTTTCTGTCGGTCGGAGGCCGCCTTTGGTGGGATCTACTGCTGCGCCTTCTTTGTCATTTTCTTTTAATAAATATTGACCTGCATTTAGGTGCGTGTTTGAGAGAGAATCAGTTTGTGAACAAGTGCATTGATGCTTCCATGCTCTTCACGTTGCAGGGGAGTCTAAATCTGACAGTGAAGCATCAGATGTTAGTGGCTCTGATGGAGAAGACACCTCTTGGATTTCATGGTATTGCAACCTAAGAGGGAATGCGTTCTTCTGTGAAATCGATGATGATTACATTCAAGATGACTTCAATGTTGTGGGCTTAGCAGTCAAGTTCCATATTATGATTATGTTCTTGATCTCATTTTAGATATCGAGTCTTCTCATGGTAATTGTTCTCAATATTTACTCATTTAAATGGAACCACCCGACGGGTGTATGTTAACAAGAAATGTTAGATGCATTTCTGCATTTGATATGATGCAAATGTGTTGTCCCTATACAGTTATTTGACTCATTTAACGTCACTAGTTTGGATGCTCAAAGCCTTTACTAGTAGTGATGCTAACACTTACTGGTTGCTTGGGCTCTGTTTCTAAGTACTCCCTTCGTCCCGAATTAGTTGTCTTAGATTTGTCTAGATATGTGTTAGATACATCCGTATCTAGACAAATCTAAGACAAGTAATTTGGGACGGAGGTAATACATTTTTGGTGTTACAGATTTTTTTTTAGTTTCCCAATGCCCTTGAATTTGTTTCTTTACTAGTTAAACGCTGAAGTAAAAGGTGCCATATCAATTACTGTAAGCATAAATGGAAGGTTTTATCTGCCACACTAAATAACATCAATCCTTTGCATGGGCTTTGGTTGGTTGATTTCGTGCAATATATGGCTCTCACTTGTCCATGGCATGGTATTGTGCATGTTTCCTTTTACATTGCCTACTGCTATTGCTGATGTTCTTGATTATTTGAATATGTAGGTGATATTTTCACAGAAGAACAAAATGAGCTAGTGGAATCAGCTGCTGAGATGTTGTATGGGCTATTTCATGCGCGATACATTCTTACCGGTAAAGGGTTGGCTGCTATGGTAACTGTTATGCTAACCTTGCTTTGCTAGTACTTGCCCATATTTGTTTCCGAAAGGCTGAAATTCGCTCATGTCGGTGAAGTTTAATTTGTAGTAAGTGGTAACTTTTATTCCTTACTTTTGGCAGCTGGAGAAATACAAGAACTATGACTTTGGACGATGTCCACGGGTTTATTGCTGTGGCCAACCATGT